TGACGTAATTTCTTAACAATTTTATTAGTAATTATTTATGGTTATGAATAAATAAGTTCTTGAAAAGATGCAACGTCGTCACAGGTCATCGCTTACAAAATGTGACGAATCCCAAATGCGACTCTCGTTAATTAAACGAACCATGAGCTCTTTTCTTACTCCTTGTTTCCGGAATATCGCTTAATAAATCGTCCAAACTTGTTGGAATATCTAAGGCAAACTGTTAAGAGACTATTGCTTGGTGGCGACAAACCAATTGGCGCGGTTCAGCTTATAAATTGTTGAAGTTGTTTACGGACTACGCTAATGCCACCTTAGTAAGGTATGCAATGCCAAAAGATCATCTCGGTGGCAATGTAATTGATATGAAGTCGGCGCTGGATCTCATACGCCACAAAAAAGTGGATGTTATGGCACACGCTTATGCTTTATTCAAAGAGGATGACGAGCTTGGTAAGAGTTATCCGCTGATGGTGGTGCGTTGGTGTCTCATGGTGCCCATTTGGAATAGCGTCACAACAATGTATTATCCACTGGAGCCTTTCGATGATCTTGTTTGGTTTATTATTGTTGGCGTCTTTTTTGCTTTGGTGAGTGTCAAGTGTTTGTGGTGCTGTTGGCAGAGCACCCATCAATTGGCCAGCCGTCTAAGCGATACCGTTTTGGAATGTTTCTGCTTGATGATTGGTATTGGTACGCCGAACTATTTTGGCGCACCGACTGTATTGGATTTCCTCATTTTCACCACTATCTACTTCTATGGTTTCTTTCTCATCGCCAACTACACCTCATTGTTGGGCAGCATTTTTACCGTAAATTTATTTCACGCACAAATTAATACCATGGATGACCTGATAGAGACGAATATTTCCGTAATGATTATCGATTACGAATTGGAATTTCTACTCTCCGAAGGTGATGAATTACCTGCAAACTTTTCACGTTTGTTACTGCCAGTAGACCCGGCCACTTTCGCTCAACATCAAGTGCAGTTGAATACAAGTTTTGCCTATTTTATTACGGAGGAGAAGTGGAATTTTCTAGAAATACAGCAGAAATATCTGAAACGGCGTCTTTTCAAGTTCAGCGACATCTGCTTTGGTTCCTACCACTTAGCCTATCCACTGCAGCCGGATTCRGTTTTGTATCGCAATCTCGAGTATTTTATCTATCGTATGCATTCGTCGGGTATGTTGGGTCACTATCAGAGCACAGGCTTCGTTTATGCGGTGCATGCAAGACTTGAGCGGCGTTTGGAAAAAAGGAGCTGCCTTTATACCGCGATTTCTGAATTTGGTATCCCTGTCTTAATTAGTACGGTTGTGTAAACTGATATTGAGTAATACCGCAAATTCCGTCAGGATCGGGAAGGATCTCTAAGAGCCGTTCGATACCAAACGAGGTTTCAAACAAGGCGACACTGCTGGAGGAAATAATTGGAGCTGTAGAACTAAATGGAGAAGGTACCGTCTTCTACAAGGGTGTACAGCTGCTGGCTTATGCCGATGATATTGATATCTTGACCTCATCCGCGCAGTAAGTTCTGCTTTCTCCAGACTGGATAAGGAATCAAAGCAAATGGGTCTGGCAGTAAACGAGGGCAAGACGAAATATCTCCTATCATCAAACAAACAGTCGTCGAACTCGCGGCTTGGCTTCCACGTCACTGTTGACTGTCATAATTTCGAAGTTGTTGATAATTTCATCTATCTTGGAACCAACATTAGCAGCAACAACAATGTCGGACTCGAAATTCAACGCAGCATAACTCTTTCAAATAGGTGCTACTTTGCACTGAATAGGCAATTGAGAAGTAAAGTTCTTTCTACAATTCACTCATTATTCCCGTCCTGCTATATGGTGCAGAGGGATGCTATAAGTTAAAAAGTAATAACCGTAAAGAGATATTCTGCCGGCGGTACTATGAGTTTCAAGGTTGTCAAAGCTATGCTTTCGATTTTATGACAGTTAAGCCTTGATGCTTTGCTTGACAACAAGCGACTTTTTTTGTATAACTCTCGTTACTCATCTGCTCCATAAATTCTTTAAAAAAAATATTAAACTGTTGTTGATTGTTTTTTTTATCGAGACGGCCAGCCACAGTTAAAATGATTGCCCTCACGAAATATTTTACAGGCTTTACGCTAAACCAAGTTGTGGTGCCAATAAAGTCGACCTTTTTTTGTTAGCTACTAGTCAAAAGCGACTATAAGTTTCATGAGGAGCGTATTTATGGATTCGGGTTTAATGTGGAAGACAGACCTTGTCGGCAACCAGCATCGATATGCTCTTTGGCAAGGAAGAATTCTTACTAAGTTAGGAGAATAAATATGTGCTTTCGATGCATATAAATCTAGGGACAGCAGATCTACCTTACTTTTGGTCTAGCATCTTATAACAGAGGTTGGAAGTTACCAGCGCTAAGACAGTGAAGTTGCTTTTTACGCAGCACTTTTTGAGACAAGGCCATTTGCTTCCAACCTCTATTTGCCGTTGTCAAACTAACAATTAACTTTAGTTATTCGCTTGTCAGTATTCGTTGGGGCTTGTAGAACAAAAAATAAATATGTACATAAATTTTCATTAATGACTTAACAATTTTATTAGTATTTATGGTTATGGATAAATAAGTTCTTGAAAAAAACGAAACGTCATACCAGGTCATCGCATACAAAATGTGACAAATCCCACATGGGACTCTCGTTAATAATTCCAACATGTTGTTAAGGCATCCAAACTTGTATTCCCTATTGGTTGATGTAAACCTTTGTCGTACAAAACGTGTATTCGCCTTTAAAAGGGCTGAAAGTGAAATTGGAACTATTAATTCTAAGAAATAAGTGAAGATTTGTGGATTACTTACGATGAAATTGAATAACGCTGAACTGCTGGTGTTTTGGCTGAGCTTGGTCTGCTTCAGCACACTGCAGCTTGCGCAATCTTGGGATGTGGAATATACTCTAAATATGCTGTGCAAACAGGGTAAGACATTTTATATGCAAGAGATCATTTGGTACGTGAGCGAAAGTATAGATGCAACGAATAGCGGCGACGTAGAAGAGCTCATCATATCGTTGGATCAATGTTTGGGCTTTACACAGACAGTGATAACCAATAATACCGATATACGCTTAATAAAATCGGAAAATAGGAAAATCGCCTTGAACATAGTCTTCTGTACTGCAACAGATGATCCCATTATACAAGTCTATGATCGCACAGCACTCGGCCGTCACATGTATTTCGGCTTAATTATAATGGTAAATATTGTGGAGGACTTTAGCGTGGCGGAGCAGTTATTGCTAGACCTGCATTCTCATAATTTCATAAATACTTTGTTATATTACTACAGTAGTAACCGAACCAATGAGCTCTTTGGTTACTCCTTGTATCCGGAATATCACTTACAAAATCGTTCAAACTTTTTGGAATATGTAACGGAAAATTTTGAGAAAGTGTGGACTGGTGGAGTGGATATGCTAGGCTATAAGTTATACACACCACTGCGTGAGGACTTACCACATGTCTTCAGTTATAAGAATAGTGCAGGACAAACCTATTGGCGTGGTTCAGCTTATAATTTGTTGAAGTTGTTTACGGACTACTATAATGCCTCCTTAGTAAAGTATGAAATGCCAAAAGATCATCTCGGTGGCAATGTAATTGATATGAAGTCGGCGCTGGATCTCATACGCCACAAAAAAGTGGATGTTATGGCACACGCTTATGCTTTATTCAAAGAGGATGACGAGCTTGGTAAGAGTTATCCGCTGATGGTGGTGCGTTGGTGTCTCATGGTGCCCATTTGGAATAGCGTCACAACAATGTATTATCCACTGGAGCCTTTCGATGATCTTGTTTGGTTTATTATTGTTGGCGTCTTTTTTGCTTTGGTGAGTGTCAAGTGTTTGTGGTGCTGTTGGCAGAGCACCCATCAATTGGCCAGCCGTCTAAGCGATACCGTTTTGGAATGTTTCTGCTTGATGATTGGTATTGGTACGCCGAACTATTTTGGCGCACCGACTGTATTGGATTTCCTCATTTTCACCACTATCTACTTCTATGGTTTCTTTCTCATCGCCAACTACACCTCATTGTTGGGCAGCATTTTTACCGTAAATTTATTTCACGCACAAATTAATACCATGGATGACCTGATAGAGACGAATATTTCCGTAATGATTATCGATTACGAATTGGAATTTCTACTCTCCGAAGGTGATGAATTACCTGCAAACTTTTCACGTTTGTTACTGCCAGTAGACCCGGCCACTTTCGCTCAACATCAAGTGCAGTTGAATACAAGTTTTGCCTATTTTATTACGGAGGAGAAGTGGAATTTTCTAGAAATACAGCAGAAATATCTGAAACGGCGTCTTTTCAAGTTCAGCGACATCTGCTTTGGTTCCTACCACTTAGCCTATCCACTGCAGCCGGATTCGGTTTTGTATCGCAATCTCGAGTATTTTATCTATCGTATGCATTCGTCGGGTATGTTGGGTCACTATCAGAGCACAGCCTTCGATTATGCGGTGCATGCGAGACTTGTGCGGCGTTTGGCGGACAATGCGGAGTTCACGTCGGCTGGCATGCAACACTTGCTGGTAATCTTTTTAATGCTGCTGGCAATGTGTTGTATTAGTTTTTGTGTTTTCGTTGGAGAGCTAATAATTGTTCGATTGTTGGAGAGCCGCTCACATGGGCATCAGTGAAGGCAGTCAGTCTCCTTATGAACCGCGTTGTTATAAAATTATAAATTGTAACAATATTGTTTAAATACTTATTCTGTCACACAATAAATAATATTTGTTTTTTTTTTTTTTTGGTATGTTTTCAAGTTATTCTTTTCTTGTAATCCTTCTTTGTTGATAAATTTGAACTGTTATTTCTTTTACTTGTGTTGAATGAAAAGCAATGCTTTGTCCTCATTGGCTCGCGGTTGGTAAGAGATTCTTGATTTTAATTTTCGCAAATAACATAAGTCCTCATAATCCGCGCTACTAATACACGAAGCGTTGATATTCCACCGGTTTGACGCTGTAATGTTTATGGACATAATATTCAATGGCGAATACAAATGAGCTTAAGAGCAGACCGGACGCCAAGACGATCCACGCAATTGTAAAGAAACGCAAATTTAAAGATTCTACCGGATAGGTGTCGGTAAATATTTGTGCATACTTAGCACGTACAGCTTCATTGAATGCGCGCTCCTCCCATTGACCCCAAAGACCCGACTCGCGTACAATCAAAATGAATAAATTGAGCGTCTCAAACCAAACGGCATCGCGTTGCATTGGTATAGCCTTGAAGACAGTGCCGAAACAGATCTTTGAGAGATGAAAATATGGCTGTATGAGTATGCGTTGTTGGCGATTTAGAAAATTCCATTGATCCTCTGTTACCACATAGGCGTAATTGCGATTCAATTTGTCTAAGACATCTTGAAACTCCTGTCATGGCATCTCACGCAATAGACGCGACAACGCGAGTATGTGCTCAACACTACTATGCTTAATCTCCGCAAAGTCGCTCAATGTGATCAGCACGTTAATATTAGCGTTCAGTAGGTCGTTAACCGTATTGATGGGCGGCACAAAGACGGGCTTCATATTGTAGGCGGTTAAGTAGGGCGCATGATAGGCGGCCAATATAAAGCCGAATACGAAGAGTAACATATAGAAGAAGACTACACGTATGTGTGCATTCTTCAGCTGTACATTCATATTCGAGCTAAACATGATGATCGCGCTGCTGTGCAGTATATTACGTGTGATTGAACGCGTCGGCTTCGTGGCATTGGTCGGATATTCGATGTAACGCATAAGTATGGCTATGTAGAAGATGCCAAAAAGTAGACACGAATAGATGTAGCGTCCGAAAGGCCATACGATGTACCAATACTTGGGCAACTCATCCTCCAGCGGCACCATAATACAGTTCTTCACCCAATAAAGTGGATAACTAAATTGTACATTAAACTTCAAATGATTGACCAGCGTTGCGCCATTCATCGCTAGGTTATACTCGCCGTTATGTATGCGTTCGTAGGTCTCCGAGTAGTTTTCACTTAAATCACGATTGATTTCCAAGAACATGTGATGCCGATTGGCAAAATTCCAGATAGTCTGCGCGTACGGTCCGAAGAGCGTAGAATCGCTGATATTCGCACCGCTGCGTACGAAGGCACGTGGCACATCATCGTAGAATGGTGTACGCAATATTGTTCTGACCTCTAAAGGCATCGCTGCACTGGTCGTCTGTCGATTTGCGTGGCAAATCACTTCAGCCTTTGCTGCTGGTAGTCATCAATAGCACTGTTTTGAGACTGAACGGCGTCGTGACTTTATATAGTCATCGAAAATGTACTCTCCTGAGGTGGCGCGCTAATGAAGGACATTTTTGCAAAACTGCAAATTATCATTATGGGTGTGCGCTTTGTATATATGGAGGCATAGCGTTTACACTTTGCATGTGTCAACCTGATGAAGTTGACCGATTGAAATCGAAGCGGCAATTAAGATCGCCAATCGATTGGGCCTGTGCCGCGTGACAAAAAGGTCATTAGAAGCGTGCAATTTTTTTGTCGCAGTTCATTAAAGTGAAATGTGATTGCAAGCATACTTTAACTGCAGTTCAGTTGGGTGGGAGTGAACTGAAAGTGATTACAAGTATTTAGGCATTCACAGGGGTCTTTAAAAGTTGAAGGTTATGGGAAATAGATAAAGTTCCAAACAAGTTAGAATATGACTATCATATCATACCTTTAAGGATCTTAACAAACTCGAAGCCCTTCTCTATATCTGATGGAGTGTAGGGTGTTTCTCCTATTGTGATAGCTTTCCAACCAGCTTTCAAAGTTATCATCAAGTTTGACATTTACAAACAAAGGTCGTAATAGGATGTTTAGATATTAGCAAAGTATCCCTATATGCCATGCGAACAATCCTGAAGAGTTTATTTAGGATCCCCTGCATCCAGTAAAAACGCTTTTTGGTATGATTTGTAGGGCTCAGGTCTACAGTACAGCTAATCGAGAGCTGGTGCGTGCTCCTTATCAGTTTTTCGCCGCTATATTTGAATATTTCGGTCAACAATCGATTGGCTCCGCGACATTGTTGTTCTTCAGAACTTCTTCTCATGGTCGGTCAGAAAACTTCCGTTCCACCATCATGTCTGTCGCTACTCTTGCTAATTTGACTATAATCTACTTAAAGTTCTAGAATATCTAATAGTTTACCAGCTCGCAAAACCCTTCTAAATCAAATACTACCATTCTTAAGATCGGAAGTTTAAAATAAACTAACAATGAACTCAAACAACACACTGAACCTAACCGATTTCTTAATCAATTAATCAATCCCACCCAACAAAAAAGTCGTACTCATTTCAAAGTTTTATTAAAACAAGATATAAATATTTAATTATTATTTTTTACTGTAGAAGCTATTGAGGAGACGTTTTGCCATCATAACTAATAACTCCACGACACTCGTTGAAATTTAATTCAACAAATAAAACAACAAGAGCCTTAAGAAGAGCAATGCTGTACGCTCATTGGCTAATGACTATTTTTTAATACACTCTGCGGTACTCAAACGTGAGAGTAGAGCGCTTTTTGGTGGAATTGTGCCCACAATGACTCTATGCCCTAAACGCTCAAGCAAAAACACCAGCAAACTCACAGCATACATAGTCAGGAGCATGAGAAATACGACGATCAAATGTTGCATGCCAGCCGAGGTGTACTCCGCGTTTTGAGCCAAACGCTTCACGAGACCTGCATGTACCGCATAATCGAAGGCAGTGCGCTCGTAGTGATCCATCAAGCCTGAAGAATGCATGCGAAACGTATAGTACTCCAAACTGCGATAGAAGAGCGAATCACGTTGCATGGGAAAGGCAAGAAAGAATGTACCGAAGCAAATTTTGCTGAACTTGAAGAAGCCCGGCTTCAGATACTGTTGCTGCAAATCGAGAAAGTGCCACTTCTCCTCGGTCACAAAGTACGCGTAGTTCGTGTTGAAGCTGTACTGATATTTTATAAATGTTGCCACATCCACCGGTTGGATGAGACGTGTGAAGTTCGCGGGCAGCGCCAGACCACCTGAGTGCAGAAACTCTAATTCATAATCGATAATTAGCACAGAAAGATTATAGGCTATGAGATCATCCATGGTGTTGAATTGCGCGCGGAACGAAGTGACCGTCAGTATGCTGCCCAACAATGAAGTGTAGTTGGCGGTGAGAAAGAAACCGTAAAAGAAAAATGTGGTAAATATGAAAAAATCCAAAGCCTTCGGTGCTGCCACCAAGCTGGGCGCGCTTATGCCCGTACTCAAGCAGAAACTACGCAAAATGCTATCACTTAAACGCGTCGCTAACTCATGTGTACCCTGCAGGAGGCAATATAAGGTTTGCACCAACAGCAAGGCACCGAAAACTACCACAATACACAACCAAGTAAGCTCATCGAATGGTTCCAAAGGATACAATATGGTAGTAACACTATTCCATATTGGCACCATGAGACACCAACGCACCACTCCAATGGGATAACTCAAGCTAATGATATCGTCTTCATAGAATAAGGCGTAAGCATGCGCTAGAAAAGTGATCTCATCGTGACGTAACAAATCCATGGCGGCCTTTATGTCGACGACATTGCCACCCAAACGATCTTTCGGCATTTCATAACTCACCAACGTGGCATTAATATAGTCCGTAAAAAGTCTGAGCAAACTGAAGGAGCTACCCTGCCAATTAGATACTTTGTCAGACGCATCTGGCGAATGAAATACGCCTGGCAAGTCCTGTCGCAGTGGCGTACATATTTGATAACCCATAGTATCCAAACCGCCTGCTAAGAAGCGCTTATAATCGCCTGATAATTCGTCAAGATAATTGGCACGATCCACAATCTCAAAACGCGGAAATACAGTATAACCGTAAATTTGATTACGTCCATCAACGCTGACATAATACAACATGGGGTTTTGAAATTTACGACGACGAAGATCTCGCAAAAATTGCACTACAACGCCGAAATCCGTTATGCTATTCAGCATAATGACAAAACTGAAAGTGTTGTGACGACTGCCTAGCGCGTAATCGTGTGCGTCCATGATGCTATCGTCGGGACCGCTCGTAAAAACTATAGACAATATAGTTTTCTTCATTTCCGTTGCGATAAACGGCTTGTCGTTGCGGTGCGTCAACACCGTCTGCGTCAGCTTGAGTTCGCCGTCGAACTCCACTACAAATTCCTCTATATCAACGGTTATGGCCTTGCTCAATTGTTCGCTAATAAACCAAGCGATTTCCTGTGGCTGTACGAATGGCATCATTGGTAAAATGAAGTCTTTGATGAACGCGCGATCCCAGCTTTGCGCTGTCGTGGTGTGGTAAAGTGACGCCGTCAGCAGTATAGCGAGCAGTAGCTGATGTATTGTGGACATTTCGTGCTAACTTTGGACTTCGATATGAGTTACAACAGTACTCTCAGCTATGTGTTTACGCTTGGAATAAACAACTGAGCTTTACACATTGTCTCTAAGTGCTCTTAAACGTTTTCGTTGTAATTTTGCACGTCATAAATTTTGCTACGTTGAGATTTTTTCGTGACCGCGGGCAATTAGTTTGCGAAAATAAATATTTACTGAATGCTCACAAATGCGATTGAAGCTGATAAGTGTCTCCATCTTATCAGCGTTTAACTACTTATTTAATTCAGACAGCGATGTGGCATTTACCTTTGTCCTAGTCCAAAATGGTTCCTTTAAATATGAGAATTTACAGACTATTGACAGATTAATATCGACTTTCCGCTCTGTCGTTGGACCTCATTTCCTAACGTGGCGGTAAGGAAATCTTCTGCTGTAGTTGCAACTCCGCTCCATGTTTGAAAGACGCGGTACCCGCCGGAGAAAGAAGAGGAAGAGGAAGGCCTCCACTCCATTGGAGAGATCAGCTGGAGAAGAACCTGGCTGCACTTGTATCTCGAATTGACGCTAAATTGCGAAAAGAAGAAACGACTGGCGCGCTGTTGTAAACTTGGCCATAACCTCGTAAGCGGGTGACTTTTCCAACCTTGTCCGCTTCGGATCCAGTTTACGTAAGTTGAAAGCATACCATAACCGTCTTCGTGTTAGTACCAGAGCGAGGCGTTGTCGCTTATCGGCATTCATAATCCAGAAAACGAATTTTGAAACTTTTTGGTTTTGAAGGATATACATCCTAAGTTCATATCGGAGAGTAGTAACCACTAGGTGGCCTACATATAATAGGCATTTTACCGTTTCGTCATGCAAAAACCTTTACAACTATAGAGAGTGACGCCGCGTTTTGCACTGCACTCAAGCTTCATCCGCGGCGTCACCTTTATATAGTTGTAGAGTTCAGGCACATGACGCCGCACCCGCTTTCTAACCACAAGTCAACAACAGACATAACACTTTGAATATTTGTTTAAAATATTTGTATTTACACTTTGCATAAACTGAATTTGGCCGATTGCTATCGTAGCGGTAATTACAGGTAAGTTCGCCACACGATTTGGGTTGTCCAATGAGCAGGCCAAGTGAAGTGTCGGCAATATGGATTAACGCTCTACAAGTGGTCTCGGCTAAACAATTGTACCAAATACGTACTAATGACCGGGTTGGTTCTCTTTATTTCTATATGGTAACCTTTAACAATATAGATCTTCTCTATACGAAACTATTTAATATATTATACTTAGTCGAAAGACAAGTCTTCCCAAAAGTTTGGTTGAGGAGACATGTTTTAACTTTTCGAAAATTTCTTCGTACGTCAAGATATAAGTTAGAATATCAACAACTTTAGGCATCCATGGGAAATTAGACGTAAACGGTCAGCCTTGGCCACCTTGACTATCTGTCATTTAATCGTTCAAATACTTTCGTCGACGAATTGGGTCAATTCAATTTTTAGCTGTTCTATTTAATAGAGCACGTAACCTAGATGGATTAAGGGGACCCAATATTTTTCAAATAGAATGGCTTTTCATATAAAGAATAGTTGGCAATACCATAGTTTAAAAGTTATGCTTAAGTGACTTCAGCATAAAAGCTCCCCGCCGATGATCATAGTGGAGGACATACTGCAAGTCCTGACTCTAACTGACTAACCTGATTCTCAGTTTTCATCTCATAACCTTGTTTCTCTTTATTATTTTCTTTAATAACAAAGACTTTAAATATTTCTACAAGAAAAATTCTAAATGTGTGATATCATACGATCTTGGTGCCCAATCCGCCGGCCCAAAATGTCAAATTATTTGCTCAACCAAATGTCGCCGAGATCACGAAACCTTAGTTTTTTACAAGCTGTGTTTTGTACGCTTTCAATTTAAGATTTCGATGTAAAATCGATTCTACACAGTCTTCGTTTACACTCTCAGCTACAGCATTCATATTTTCTATTCGGTCGAATATTATCCAATAATGAATGCTGGGTCTCAAGTTTAGTGATGGTGTTGCGAATATTACGCTCAGTAGGCCGATTATGTTGATCATAAGTTGAGCGAAGCGCGCGAAAAACATTCTTTACAGACCATGAATTTTCGTAATACAGGGTGGCTGATGAATTTTGCTACATTAAGAAACTCAAATCATTTTTTTTTTCAGTGTATGGAATTCATTTTTCGCTTATTCATGTTAAAGCTTATTCAGCTTAATTAGTTTTAAAAATAATGGAATTTAATCTTACCAAGAAGTTGTTCATTACTGCTTGGAGAGTTGAGACAGGAATAGGCGCAATTGTTTCTCGAATGGATAGACTTCCTGTTTGCAATAACCCCACAAGAAAAAGTCAGGTGCAGTAAGGTCAGGCGACCTGGGTGGCCAACGGAATGTGGAGTTTCTGGATATCAGTTTATTGGGAAATTTTCGTCGCAATTCTGTCATAACAGGTTGGGCTATGTGAGGAGCTGCAACATCTTGCTGAAACCACACAGAGTTGAAAGAAATTCTCATTCGGCGTAATTCTAGATAGAAAAACTCTCTCAACATGCTCACGTAACGGTCTCCAGTAACAGTAACGGTGTGACCGTTTTCTTCGAAGAAGTAAGGCTCGACAATGCACCGTGATGAAACTGCACACCACACTGTGACACGAAGTGGATGCAATTCCGTCGCATGGAGTATCTGTGGGTTGGAAGCACTCCATATTCGACAATTTTGTTTGTTTATGTTGCCGTTTAAATCGAAATGGGTCTCGTCAGACATGAAAAGACAGTTCAACATGTTTCCATCCACTTCTTCGTTGTTCAGGCATAAGTCTCTCCATGATAAAATGCATTTTTGATATGTGTATATATATATTTTTACCGTTATGAATTATATGCTGATAGTCGAATCCCATAATTTATAATATTATTTCTAGAAATTCTTTGGTTTTTATTTTTCTTAAAAAAATATTTCGAACATAAAATACTGAAAAAATTAATAAATAAAAAAAATTGCAAAAAAAAAAAAGCTAAACGCTTCCACCGTGACAATGTCTCTTTGTGAGAGCATTGCCGTGACCAGGATTCGAACCTGGGTTACTACGGCCACAACGTAGGGTCCTAACCACTAGACGATCACGGCTATTGAAAGCTTGCCATATTGTTGGTCAAATTTCCAATATGAACACAGCAGGCAAATAAATCAACAAGGTTGAGCACAAAGTGGATGTTGTTCTCAACAACAACAAGCTTTTTTATATATAAGTATGTTCATGTGTATGTATGTATATATAAGCGTTAGCGAGCGATAAGCATTTGACTTGGTGGAGGAAATAGCTGTCCGATGTATAAAGAGTAAGAGAGATTGTAGAGAGAAAGTATACATATACCTACATACATGAGTACAAAGCTACATATTTATATGCATTTGTTGTTAAGTATATAAATAAATGCGCTGGTTCAAACAGCTGATTATCTAATAATCGTATCAATGATACCGTAAATAGCTACAACAACAATAAATAAACAATAAAAGACACAGATGTAAGAAAGATAAAAAGAAAAGTACCGCAGGGGATAAGAAATGTACATACATATGTACAAATGAAGTGTATGTTTATATGCAGTCAAATGTTTGTGTGTGTATACATATGTATGTTCAAAATTCTTCAATTCTTTGAAAACTAAATAATAGATGGGCTATACATATTGTATGTACCTACATATGTACAGTTTGTCAAGTAATTCTTTGCAAAATGGAAAACATCATTGAAATAAACTTTCAAGTTTATTTTTCTTTAGAAAAAAATGGATTTATTTCAGTTTTTTCTTTTAAATTATAATAAGAGAGATTATTAGCTACATTTATGATTAAAAMAAAAAAACATTTTTCAGCATAAAACATAATAAGAAAACAACAAAAACAAAAAGTGTGTAAATATTAGGCTGTCAATTAATTCTTTGCAAAATGTAAATATTGGTTAAACTTGTAAAGAAAACTTATAAATTATAACATTTATGGTTCTAATAGTGGGTGTGGCGTCCCTTGGCATCCAAGACTGCATTCA